GGGCGAAGAGACGATTACGCACTAATCAGATGCTATTGGGTTATTGTTTCTCCTCCGCCCCATTCCGATTGCACCATAAATCGCTGACTTTAATGGATGAAATCGGGAAAGCGTTGCAATCGCCAGTTCAGCAAAATAGTTGTCAGTCGCGAACAATGAGCACAATGACAGACCACCGAACGACGAACGAATGAATGAATGAATGTGTTGAAAAATATTCATAAAATAGGAAAAATAAGAAGCGCCGAGATTTTTCACACTACACAAGCCCAGTCAGTCAGCCAGCCGTGTAAACTCGTCGGCATTAGCTAAGAGGGCCCCCGGGCCCCGATCTGCGATCCCGGATAACTTCATTTACATTTTGGGCGTGAGAAGAATGCAGATGCAAAAAAAAAATAAGGCAAAGAGTATGTATACAAAATTCAAATACTGCAGATCGGCTGCATTGGGCCTAATTAGATTATAACCAGCAGTTCCACGTACCATGGATAATGTGGATGGAATCTCGGCGGTATCTGCTCCCAGCCATCTCCTGGCTGCGCCAATCTCCAATTGCGTGCCAAAAGCCAGCCCAGGCCGGGGTATTGCATAAGTGGGGCGTGGCGGAACTGGAACTGGGTCCATCATCCATATCTTCCACACTTGCAGCGCACACGGACTGGCCAATAAACTGCATTTGCATTTGTCCCAATTAGCCACTTGGCCATGGCTAACTCCGGCCACAAGCCCCGTGCAATTAACTTGTCTCGCAAAGCCCTTGTTGCGGTTGCGGCAAAAGAACCATGGTAACTAACTGTGTGAAATGTTCACACATTGCTTGGCTCGTATCGAGTGTTTTGGAAAAATCCCAGAAATTCTGCTTGGATAAGTTCACTGAATGCTTGGGAAAATATTTGAAAAAGGTCTGCTAAAAGCTGGGTTAGCTTAAGCATTGCAAGAATTAATTGTTATATTAATTACGTCGTAGAGTAAGTGGGGTAAATATAAACGAGCACCCCAAGGCTTGTTAATCTTAAAATGAAAAAAGTAATGGTTTTTATTTTAATGTTTTATTACTTGTACTTACTTCTAGCAGGGAATTAAAATATATAATGCTAGTTAATATATTAACGATTATTTTTTAATATCCAAAACTGGTTATTATACCCTTGTAGGGTATTATAATTTCAGTCAGAAGTTTGCAACGCAGTGAAGGAAACCTTTCCGACCCTATAAACCATATATATTCTTGATCAGCATCAACAGGGGAATCTTTCTAGATATGCCAGGAAGAAATGGATTTTTTTGGGCATTTTGGCAAAATTTTATAAAATTAAAAAAAAAATTAAAATTTTTGATTTTGATAAAAAATTGAATTTTCAAAATTTTTAAATGAAGTATACAGATTTATTAACTGTAGAAAATCTTGCACATAACAGTTTTCCGATTTAAAATTAATGCTCTCTTTGCCGAGTTATGATATTTTTAATTTAAAAAAATTAAGAAGTTTTTTAATATAAAAAATCCGATTTTATAATACAAAATAATATTTTTCTAAGTCAAGGAATCATTTCCGACCCCATAAACCATTTATATTCTTGATCAGCATTAACATGTGAATCTTTCTAGACATGTCCGGAAGAAATCGATTTTTTGCCATTTTTGCAAAATTTGATAAGGGGTTACATCATTAAAATTAGCAAAAATGCCAAAAATTTTGATTTCTTAAAATTTTAAATTTGGTATGCAGTTTTTTTAAATGAATAAAAACTAACACAAAACTGCTTTCCGAATCGAAATTAATGCATTTTTGGCTTAGTTATGATATATTTTAATTGTTACCTGCAAGGGTACAAAAACTTCTTGTTTTTTGGTTTGAGAACTGTATACCCTTTGTTTTTGATTCGCTAATGGCTAAATTTATGGCCTAAGAAAATATGTTTATAGACTATTTAAGCCAGCAATAAAACCACTTATCGCACTTTAGATTCTTAATAAATTCCCAAACACGTTCACCTATAAATGTTAATTAAAATGGAAGTCTTTAATGCCTACACTGCAGTTTAGACCTCATAAATAATGAAATAAAATGCAATCGAACTTTGCAAAAGCCAATGACAATGTTGTAACTCTTTGACTCGTTAATTTTTCACAAAATGCTAAACAATGACAGATCGGAGAAGAGATTACACATGCCCACAATCAAATCATTACCAACATTTTTCTCCCCTAATCTTTGCGGAGTTTTTGTAAATGTATGCAAATTCCAGGGGCTTTGAGTGCCAAGGTTTTTTACAAGAAAAACAAAAATAGAAAAAGACAGCCACCGAAAATAATAATCCATTGGCGAAAGACAAACAAACAAACAAACCTACCATATATTGTTAACGATGTGAAAAGTAACTGACTAACAAAGCATTTGGCAGCTGGCAATTAGCCACGCACCCGCACTTTGGCCATCTGAAAGAAACATGGCCCTGGGCAACCTCCATGCACATCCACATCTTGAACAATCCAAGAGATCTGCAGAGATCCAGTGGCAAAGATCCCCTCCAACTGACATTTCAATATGCGCGTCAAACGATTCCATTTAACACAATTTATGAGTGGCGATTCGGCTTCTGATTCTTTGGGGTCCGTGGAGAATAAGTATGTCCAAGTGCTGGCATTAACCGAATTGTGGGTCCCCGCTGATAACTGGATTCACCATCACCATCACCACCTTGGCATTTAGATCGTAGCATGTGCAAAAAGTGGCCGAGCAACAGGAAGATGGCAGCCGTCGCAGCACAGGAAAAAATGTATATATTAAATTGAGATACATTAGTAGAAAAAACTAGAGTCATAAGATAACTATTAATATTCTGTGAATAATAATTAATATTAATAATTCAGAAATATATTAACAAAGAGAACTGGAATATCCTTTTAAAATGTTGCAATAGAACTTCAAGGGATGAAGAAAATGTATGAAAGTTGAGCTTATTAAATTATAATATCTTCTAGATATTATTAATTATTAAAGAAATGAGCCACATAAGCCATGTTATAATTTTGTCATCCTAAAATCTATTAACTAAAAAATGAATTAAACCAAAACCCCATCTGATCGTTTACAAAAATTGTTCTCTGTGTTCTGACACCGCTGAAATTTCTTAATAGAAGCACCGAGACCACAAAAACAAACTAACAAAAAACAAAACAAAAACCAAAAAAATAACGTAACTAAAAAGCAGCAGCCGCTGCGGCATCGACTCGGCGGAATCACAAATTAAATGTTAATGGTAATACCCGGCCACAATGGAGTGGAGCGGCGCTTGGGATAAAAACCGGATTTGTGGCAGCCACAGACAGAACAATGTGTGCATAAATCTAGCGTCAAAACATGAATGCAATTTACCCAAACTGAATGAGCGATTGCCAGGGATTAACCGGGGCTCCACCGAACCGACGTACCCGAAAACCTGCTACTGCTGCTGCTGCTGCTGATCAAATCAAAACTTGACATTGTGACTGAGGCAGGCCCACTTAATGCGGTCGCAGAAAGGAAGCTGGAACGGATCGGATCGAATGGAAGGTGAGAAAGGCCTACCCGACGAGATTACCCATTGAGACACGCATATCAAGTGACAGATGTTGCATAATATAGTCGAATCCGACTGCCGACGGCAGACGAAGACGCCGCCATCCTCTCTGACGTGCGGTGAAAGTTAATTTGGCAGAAATATGTAGAAAAATTATGAAATGTGTTTTCCTTTCGGTTGCCACCGCATTGTCTTGTGGCAAGAGTATCAAGCGGAAACGGCAAAAACGTTGCCTGTGCCTGTGCCTCACTCTGCGGCCACTTGTGCCGCCCAATAGGTTAATAAATACATTCCGAATGGAAGCAGGAAGAAGAGTTGCCAGCATCACGCTGTCCAGAGATAAGCGGGGTTATTCTGTACCACCTTTGTTTGTTATGTACATATATTTGTATATATAATAGTTTCATTATCAGGGTTTAGTTTACAAGCAAGTCTTTATAGTAGTTTTCATTTGCAGCTTAATTTTTATAAATGGAACCAGCGAAGCCAACTAAATTTCAGATATTATGGACTTACTGTGAATATACAGATGTATTCTAAATCTAATCAGTTTCAGGACTTGGGGTATTTCAAGATCAGAAAGAAAGGGAAATTCCAGATATTGTGGACTTCCTGTGGATACAAAACTTTATTCTAAATCTTATCAGTGTTGGGAGTTTAAAAAGGGATTAATTAATTAAAGAATGACCTGAACCCCATTTCCTATTAAAGCCTTCCAAAAAAGAAAAGAAACCTTCTGGTTAAGGGAGTTTAAAAATGTTCAAAAACCATATAGTACAATTATTGCTTCCAGTGTATGGGCGTTACGCATCTTTTTGTTGTACTACCTTTCTTTTTCCTATTTCAATGATCGGTTAAGGCAACTTCAACCAACTTATTCGATCCTCCTTATTTAAATATTACATTTATAATTGAGAAATTAAGCCTTATGTTTCTCTGGATCCAATTCCAAATACATTTTCTAACGTAAATAAATAACAAGTCTTCAACAATTATTCCTAAGGATAATTGTAGATGTCTTTGCTTCACGATTCAGTTTAAAAAACAATGTAAACCGGGAATGTACTCATTTGTGTGGTTAAATCGTTTTCATAATTATAACCCTTTTATGCCAAGGGCTTAAATCAAGGTCTCTCCGGCCATTCAACGACATAATCTCGTCTAGCGGGCGGCATTTCTCGTTTGTGTACATTAAATCGCACAGCTGACAATTACATGTAAGCACCATGAAGCGGCCAGCAAATTGGCGACCGACAGGCATTTCTCTGCCATTGTTCGTTCGTTTGTAGCCAGGTGGTTTTCGGCGAGCCTTGGACATTTTAGAAAGGCCCAGGTAGAGTGGCAAGTCGGCGAAAGGTACAAGAAAGGTACTCACCACTCCACAGCCACATCCACATCCACATTTACGATCCCCATATAGAGAGACACGAGTGCTGGTTGGTTTATTTAGGTTTAGACATTTATTAAACAGGCTGGGCTCGTCGGTGGCGCGATGACAGAGCAGCTCTTGTTGGGCATATTGGCGTGCACTTACTATTTGAGCACATTATGTTATATTTTTTTGTTATTATATTTGAAATATGTGTGTGTTTTTGTTGCAACCAAATCACTGGGTTTGGTTGTTCGCTGCTATTGCTAGTGCACAGCTGGTGGAGTAGCGCTGCGCTCACTTGGACTCGGCTGCCGTATTGCTGGACTTGGTGGCAGCTTTGATGGCGGCCGCGGAGGTGCGCTTCACACTGACCAAGACATTGCGCTTCGTGGAAGCCGGACCTGGTTTGGCGGCTTTGGCAGCCGGCTTGGGCGTTGCCTTCTTCACGGGCTGCTTGGTCGCCGCGGCGCTGGTCTTGGCCGGTGTGGCCGGGGCAGCAGCAGCAGTAGCAGCCGGGGCAGCTGGCTTTTTCTCCGTCGACTTGGCCACCGGAGTTGTGGTGTCTTTAGCAGCTTCCTCCGCCTCGGCATCGCCATTCGCTTCCTCTTTGGCATCTTTAAGCTTGTTTTTCTCGCTGTAAGTGAACGAATATTATTATAAAACCAGACTGATTACTTCACCTCTGCCGTTAAGACATACCTTTCAATGTCAATGTTGAGCACGGACTCATCCTCCTCTTCCTCCTCTTCTTCCTGGCCCACTTCGGCCAGCAGGTCGCCCAGATCCTTGTCCACCTCCTCCCACAGCTTCTCGTCGTGGGTCTCATCGCCCCCTTCTTCATCACCGTAGTCTTCGTCCTCATCCTCATCGGCCTTGCCATCCATGTCCTCATCGGCCTCCTCTGCCTCGTCATCGCCACCCTTCTTGTCTTCCTCCTCAGGCTCATCCTCCTCGCCGCCCTCCGCCTTGACCTTCTTTTCGGTCTCCTCCTTGTTGCGGAGGAAGGCCTTCACGTGGGAATGCTGCAGGCAATGCTTCTTGGTATAGTCCTCCAAGGAAGTGTCTTCAGTCTTGGTGGAATAATGGTTACACAGTTCACAGTAGAAGGCCTCAATGGTCTTGATAAAATCCGGGCCAATCAAGCCGCGTTTGCGGGTCTCCTCATCCGTGCTCTTCTGTGCTGTTTCGGCCTCAATCACCATGGCATCCACATCGGCATCGATCACGTCAACATCGATCTCGCCCACCGAGTCGACGGTGAGGAATTTATTCAAATCGATCTCGCGCTCATCCACGCTATCATCCGAACCGGACTCATCGTTACGGGCCTTATTCTGAAAGTGAATGAATAATTTATTGCTTGTCGAGATCTGATGGAGATTGAGGGGGGCTTATTCAAGGAGGAAAAAATTAAAATTCATTTAAACTCACCCTAATGTGCTCCAGGGAGCAGCGATGGTTCTCGTAGAGCATGGCGTTCTTGAACGCCAAGTGGCAGGAGCCGCAATAGGGCATCAAGAACTTCTTAATGGTCTTGTGGTGCTCAGAGGCCTGGTGGAGATTCTTGGGCTGGCGGTAGGCCAACCGGCAGAGGCGACAATAGCGCGACTCGTGCTCCTCCTTGGCATTCTCCTCGATCTCGCGCTGGGTGGTGCGCTGACGGGCGCGCATACGTTGGAGATCAGCGCGCTGATTAAGGGCCACCTGGCGCATTGCGTTCTTGTGGGTGCGCGAGTTCAAATGGTAGTTGTACTCCTGCAAATCACAAAAAGGATAATAAGTAAATCGCCTAATAAGAGAGTTCAGCCAAACCCACCTTGAAGGTCACACACTTGACGCGACAGTGGACGCAAATGAGCTTGATGAAGGTGCGTTTGCGGTTGTTGTGATCGTCGTCGCGATGACGCGAGGTGCGCCGCTCCTTGCTGCGCTCATCGTCCGAATCGTCTTTGTCCTTGCGCGATGAGCGCTCCTTCTTGCTGGACGACGAGGACTTCTTCGCCTTGGCGTCCTTAGAGTCGCCACTATCCTTCTCCTTCTTCTTACCTGCACCGGACGACTTGGCGACCTTCTCATCGGCCTTTTCGCCATCGCCGGCCTCGCCGCCCTCGGTCTTGACCTTTACTTTGACGTCCTCATCGTCATCGGTGGCATCGCCGTCCTTGGCGCTCTTAGGATCAGACTCATTCAGGTCCTTCTCCTGATCATCGTCGTCCCCACCATCGGCATCGTCATCGTCGTCGCTCTTGTCCTCGGTGGCCGACTTGCTGTTACGCTTTTTCTTGCTTTTTACGTCCTTGTCGTCCTTCTCATCATCGTCGTTATCGTCATCATCATCGACATCATCTTCGTCGTCGTCGTCGCCATCAGCGTCCTTGTCCTTGCCCTTCTTCTTCTTGCTTTTCTCAGCATCATCATCGTCGGTCTTCTCCTCATTGTCGCTGGAATTGTCGCTGCTATTCCCGCCCTGGCGTTGTCGTCGCAACGAGCTACATTTGTGGGTGGAATGAATTCGAGAAATTCGAATGTGAAGTCAAGGTCTAGGTGGCAGGATGTTTGTTTTGTTTTTGTTTTGGTGGAAGCTCTTGTCTCTTGGGCAAAGACCGCAGAGACAAGGACAAATTTGAATTCAAATTTAAATGGTAATTGATTTTTTTTTTTAGTACACAGGAAGAAGCTAACAAATTACGATCTTGGCAGAATATTTATATATAAAGTGTGTCAAATATTTAGTGATTTTTAGTTTTACACAACATTATACTTTCTACGAGAGAGATGGGAGTCTCTGTGGAGGTAGGCAGCTCGGTTGATCTTTCACCGAGTGCTGCTCTCTCTCTTGTTCTCCTCCTCTCCTGGATTCTTCTTCTATCGGAATCTCACAAAGTTCACATTCATTGTTCTGATAATAATAGTTCGCTGTACATTTGTTATCTTTAACGATGCAAATTGTGACGACGTTTGTCGTTCACAGAGATTAACTCACGTTTTCGGTACTTTCAGTCTTTATACTTTTTTTTTTTTGTTTTGAATTTGTTGTCTATTTTGTATTTTTTGTTTTTGGTCTATTTACCTTTTCAACTGCTGAATCTTGAGCAGGCGAGCCCGGTCTTTCTGCTGTGCATAGAGCAGCTGGCGGCGCATGGTGCGCAGATCATTCGATTCGTTGACATTGCGGGTACGCACAACTCGCATGGCACCCACCCGCATTCCGCTGCGCATCATTCCGCCGCGCATGGACATTGTGCCGCGGGGTCGGGATATATAGTTGGTGCCGGCCACGCTTCGCATCATCCGCTTGGGCGGGCCCATCGATCCATCGCGCTGATGCCGGTTGTTGCCGCCGCCGCTGGCCGAATCGTCGCGCGGGCGGTAGCTACTCGAGCTGCCGCCATTGCCTCCGCTGTTATTACCGCCGCCGGTGCTGCTGCGCTGATGATAGTTGGAGGATGAAGAGCCAACGTTCTGCGATGAGGACGAGGGTCGATCGCTGCGATCGTTCGACGAGGATGTGCGACGGTAATCCTAATGACGATTGATGAGTAGGAAGGTGTGTAGGAGCTCGGTTCATTGATTGATTTGGTATCGAATATAGGTGGTAGATTGATTTTTACATTTATAAAACACAGATAGACTTGTTGTATGAAAAGAATTGCTATATAAGTAGTAGTTACAGACTATATATTCGGTATCTGATCCTGATTACAATCCTGATGGCTGATATCTGATCTTATTGCTGATGCTGAATCTGATCTGATCGGATTAATTTGATTTGGTTTGGTTTGGTTTGTGGGTTATCGCATATCGCAAGGCTGTTATTTCCTGCAGCGTGTTTTATGTGTGGTAGGTAGCATGATGGAGAAACCTCATATACGCTTATGCGATATATATCGCTACTTAGATTTGAATTTGCAGATGTGCACAGTGATAGATATTTATATATATATATATGGTATCTGTAATAACCGACTTTCGGTCTGTTTGGGGACAAATTTGACAGCTGGTACACAGAGATACAAGAGATCAAACGGATCAAAATCGCTTCAATTGCTTCAACGTTTCTACGTTTCTACGTTTCGGATCGGATCAGATCGATCGCTGGCTGGCTGGCTGGCAAAATCATTTTTCTGTTCTATATACGTTTGCCGATTCGTAAATATATGATATTTAGGTCTTATACGACGGCGCTCCAAAGTGTGCTTATATCTGGCAACTTTGAGTCGGCGCTGTTTGCTGTTTTAAGACATATGTTAACGCTTTATAACGCTCGATAGGCTCAATCGCTCGATCCCGCGTTTAAGCTTCACAAATAACAGTGCTATAAATATTTGGAAAGTCATTAACATTACAAGGTACAAGTCGTTTAGCTTAATGCATAATTCATTAGTATATATGTATATATATAAACCTCTGGAATGGCGGGCGATTTAACATGGGGACAGGGGCAAAGTATAACTTACGTCTATCCGCGGCCGCTTGCGGTCATCGCTGCTGCGATCGCGAGATGAGTCCTAGAAAAACGCATTTGGGATGAAAATAGATTGCATTAGCATTATGAATTATGTATGTCTTATATGTAGGTAGTATATATCTTTGAAACCACATCACTCATCTGCTGGCAGAGCTCAAAAAAGCGTGACAAATGTGCCAGCAATATTCGTTTTTAGTCTCCTTGAGTTGCTTTTTCTCTGTATTTATTTAGTTCTGCATTTATCTATAGCTTACTTAGATTTTCTTTATTTACATTTTCTATCTTCAGTCAGTACTTTCCTTTTTCTCATAGAAAATTCTTCATAATTAAATTTAAATAATTTTTAAAACTCTCGAAAATTGATTCTTTCAAAATGTGGAACACGAGAAATTGGCTTTTATTCTGAAGAGTTGCATCTGGTGTGGTATTATTTTTACCACATCTGTGTGTATTCTAACAATGAATATAAATATATATATCAAATATATATATACCTTTTTCACGGAAACGAAAATAAGTGTGCTTTCGCTAAGGCAAACAAAAGGAAAACTGTTTGTTCCAAAAATATTGGCCATCAAGCCAAAAAACAAATAGAATATAGATATATATAATATATTTTCCAAATTATAGTGCAATTTGTTAACGTTGAGTGAGACATATTGACCAATAACCGAAAAAAAGCTGTAAAATTAGCAACAGGGCTCCTTTGAGTGAATTAGACTCGGCATAATTTCGTTTTTTCTTCATTTTCTTGACTTGTTTTTCGAGTAGATTACCCTGTTTACTATTATTCTTGGTATCTTGTTGATTACCTGCTGAAATCTGCAGGCCTCTTCTGTTTACCTACTGACCCTAGGGCTGCTGAGAAGATAAGAATCCATCTGTTTTGTGTGTGTATTGAGAACCACGTTGCCCTTTTCTAGTGGAATATTTTTTGATTTTCAAATGAGTATTTATTTAATGACTATTTTGAGAAGGATAGGTAACTCTTTAAACTTTACTTGGTGATACATTTTGCCTCTTTCAATATTTTCGTATAATTCAATTATAATATTAATAATATTTGTACCCAGACATTTCACTAGTCAAATACAACTTGAAGCGAATATAAACCAGGATATATAAAGTATAAAAATATATTTTTAAAAATGTAAGTTTTTTTTGGGTCTGAAGAGGTAGAAGGGAACTATTTTTACTTATTCTTAGGTACTTTCTAACGGTTTTATTACCTAAGAATAAGTAATAAGCCTTGCCTTCAGACCCAAATGTTCCAATTTTTTAAAAATATATTTTCAATACCTATTTCCTTCTCATATGTCAAGACTTTTATATGAAATCGCTAGCAGCAGAGGGATAAGTGATATATAAATTCCAAAAATGATCAAAATACTCACATAGCTGCGCTTGTGGCTGGAGCTGGAATCATAGCGCCCGCCGCTGCTCGAGTTGTGGTGCGTGAACTTGTCCCGACTCCGGTTGTCATAGTGGCTGTTGTTGCCTCCGCCACCTCCGCTGTTGTAGCGATTGTTGTTGTTGTGGTAGTTATTTTCGTAGCGACCGCCATTCGGTCGGTAATTTCCCTGGGTACGGGTATTGACATAGTTGCTAGAGTTGCGATTGTTGTAATACCCGCCGCGAGTGGTACCACCACCACGTGGAATGAATCCGCCGCGTCCACGCATCTTTATCTATATATATTCTTCTGCCGGAAAATGAAACAAAAGCAGGAAAAAGATTAGACTTTGTGCCGACCAACCGTGGCGACTGCTGTGGATGCACTCTATCTATGTGTGCGTGTGTGCTTGTATGCATGTATATGTGAGAAAAAAACACATCCGTCCAGCGCAGCACCCCTCGACACGAAAGGAATTGTCTGCCGGTGGCGTCGGCTCGTTCAGAAAAAAATCGATATTGCCGGCCTCGTAATACCGCGAATTATTTGCACTTAACGACGCCACTTACCTTCAGTTCTGATAGCTACACTAAGCTATTCACTAAAAGTCTCTTTTTAAAATAAAATTGCACGTTTTCTTGCTTAATTCACACACTTTCCGAGCCACTTTTTTTTTTGAGAAAAAAATTTTCTGGCAATGGCGAACGGTGTGATAGAGATGTCAAAACGTCGAACGATATTGCTATCGATGTTTTTGAAAATTATCGGTAATTGAGGCTGCCAGATTGTGAAAAAGGAGAAAGAGGAGGTGGAAATACGGTATTTTTTTAAATCGTGTAAATTATAAAAAATATTTACATATACAATAGAATTTTAAATTAAAAAAAGGAAAACCAAGTAGCTTTCATTACATTTATCTATACATTTTACATGTACAGTTTTGGAAAGCTTTTTTTCATTTTTAAGTTTTTAATTTCCCTTCACATTTACAAATATTTCCTACGGCTTGATTTATTTCTTATAAAATTATTTATTAAACATTACATAGTTACATTGCAGTAATACATAATTTTATATACATTTCATAGAAATTATTAAAAAATCTTAAATATACTTTCCCACTAAGTGTGAAACAATAATAATACAAGATTTTCAAACTAACTCAAAACATAAAAAATGTACAGATCTTTTTTTACTTTAAATAAGTATTACTTTGCAACTAATTTATTTCCTTGGCTTGAGTTAGGTTCTTCAGCCGGTAAAGTCGTCGTACGGGTTGTCTTTTGCGTTGCAAAGTACGCTTGAAGCTATCATAGGAAATTTTGAGTTCAGCAGCATCCTGGGTGTGCCTATTTTTAATTAAATATAAAAATAAATGTATCAATTAAAAGTTACTCTTTGTTTTAACATAGTGAGAATTTTTTACTCAACTCGGCCATTACGTCGTTGAAAATCTTCTTGAGATCCGAGTTATCGGTCTTGCACTTGTTCTTTACTATGTCCATGGCAATAATTTTCTTTATTTCCAGATCTTGACCTTTATGGCTATGGTGTACTTGATCTTCCCTGGCGTATACTAGCGTTTCATCTTTTGCCAGATACACTCGGGCCTTGCAATCTTTGACGCGGCATACGTACGTATTGTCTCCGTTTTTTAGAAGTTTATTTTTACAATAAAGTTGGTTGTCGTCCAGAGTGTGAATGAGCCTGGAGCCTTGACGAAAACCAACTTGGAACTTGAAGTTAATGTTGCTTCGTGTTTTGTTTACATGACTCTGCTCCATGTGCGTTAAAAGTTGTTGCAGTTCCGGAAAAGTACATTGGCAACGTGAACACTTGATTGTTGAGCTTGCATCTTTGCTACCTTTCTCTGCATTATCAGAGTCACAATTTGCTTCAATTTCTATTTCACAATGGGGCTCGAAATCCCGGCAATCCTCAAAGTCCTCTTCTTCAACCAACTCGTTCTTTACTTGGCATTCGAACTCATTCTCGTCGGAGGAGGAACTACTATCAGGTACTATGTGCATTTTTTCATCTGCTTCTAGTACCCTCTTTTCCTTCTGACAGTATAAGGAGAAGTTCTTCTCGTAAGTTTGCTTTATCCTAAATCCACTTTGTGTATCCCGAAGGCAAGGCAGACAAATGCTTTGCGGATACGAATCCTCTTGGGAAACTTTATGTCCTATGAACTGAGATATCATATCCGCAATCGAGATGCTTGATCCAGGCGTGCACTCTGATATATTAACCATTTCTTTTGAGTTTCCAAAGCAAACTCGACATGTTGCCCTGAAATTGTAATATAATTTTGTACCAATATTTGTGAATATCAAGTTTACTGTTTGCTTACTCTTGTGTATTGTTGGTGGGGGTGGTTTTGCAGTGGGTGTCCTCCAAGTATCCACTACCACTGGAAAAGCGCTTCGAATCAGGCTTATCAGAATCCTCCATTATTTAATTTTAAGTTTTTAAAATAAAAATACAACTTTCATTTGTTTACGTTTTTACGATTGCAGTTAGAGTGATGGCACTTTGTTCGATAGGAAATACCATAAGAGATGGAAAATCGTCAATATTTATCGATATTTGTCTGTTTGAACGAATAAAAGCATTAATTTTAATTCGGAAGCTTTTCTGAGTAAGTTTTTAATAATAATATTATTTATTATTATATAATTTAATGTAATAATTCAATAAATAATTTAATGTAATTTTTTTAAACAATTTCATATATCCAATGCCATATGTGAAGGTGAAGAGCAACAAAAAGTACTTTTTTTAGTTATTATTAAAACACAAATAGAATAAAAGTCTATGATAATTACAAATATATAATTCAAATTATTTAAATTTTCTATTTTAATCAGTTTTAAAGATTTATTTTAAAATTTTTAAGATAAATCGTTTCACTACAAATGTATTTCCAGCTCTACTGGAATCAAAATATTTTCAAAACCATTTTAATTTTAAATCATTTTACTTTTATAATCGCCATACAATACTGAAAACCCTTGAAAAAATATATACATATTTTAAAATTTAGATTTCCATACCCCACATAAAAAAAGTCAATTTAAAATACACAACTATTTATTTATTTTTACATAAAAGTCGATTTCAAAAGATCTGTTTACAAAAAATAGGGGATCCATTGTATTTCTCCATTCTGTTTTGAAACCAACCACAACTCTCGGGACTCCGTTTTTGTATCCATTGGATTTTCTCCGAAATTTTGAAACAAAATATAGAAAAAATTCGCTTCACATGGTTTTGGTTTTGAAAAAATTGCTTTTCGTTAATTGTCACAATACGAATAAAAATACTCAACAGCTTTAACGTACTATATAAATGTATTGTAAATACGGATCGATCAACTAACACGCACGCTCAAAAGACGACTAATTCGATTACCATATCGTAAGATATCACAACAGTATGCCAGATATTCCTAAAGCACGAGAGTTAGGTACTATATGGGAGTGGGGGTGCTGATAACAAACTAAAAAGAAAACAAAAGGTAAATCCATTGGCGATACGCTTTATTTTTTCGCTAGAAAATATATCCAAATGTGTATATATTTTCGATTCTTTGTACCAACAACTTACGAGGCTAGGTAAATAAGGTTAAACTTAAACTAGGCGCTTAAAATGCAACTGAAATTGTAAATGAATCGAATTGGTAAACTGCAAACAAATTAAATTCATAGCAACATCAAGTACGCTTCTCCCTCTTCGTATCTCTATGTACATTATGCAGATATAAGAGTTAAGAAATGCACAAATAATTGGAATGCATAAACAAAAGGCAATAAGAATAAACGCGGCGGAGGAAGACACTTCGTTTTCAATGCGATGAACGATGAACGAGCAATGAACTAATTATGGCAAAAATAAGATTATTTAACATAAAATCTACAAACGTGTAATTAATATTGGAAGAGCTTTGGAAACAAATCGGTGGAAGTAGTGTTTAAGCTAACCAAAACGTTATCGCTTTAACAATTTACTTGTTTTGTTCTTTAAATTTAACATGAAATTAAATGCATTTAATAAATATATAAATGTGTATGTGGGTGGGTGTGGTGGAAGTAATGGAAGTAATTTTATCCTTAACAATGCTTTTTCTTTGTATTCTACAATTTGCCGAATACATATTGTTTGTTGTGTGTGTGTTTAACATTAGCTGTATGACAGTTATATAAAGTGGAAAATATACACGTAGATGTACGTCTCCTACACTTAGCTTTTCTCCTTGCTAGAATTATTTGCTTTTGTTAGTCCTTAGCTTAGTTAGTTCTTTAGAAATTTCTGCTACGCCTAAGATAACTGGTATATAATGTAGTTGCTAGTTACACGTGTACATGTATAGAGAGATATATATTTAGATTTACACATACGCTTGCTCCACTTTGCTAGGCTTTAAAAATCTTAGCAAATTTTGGAGCTCTCAGTAGTAGTTTAGGCCTTATGTAGTTATCAGTTTGCAGTGGTTCTCCGCTCCTTTTTCGGGAGCAGAAATGCTCCATTTCGTGTGTGTTTGTGTGTATAAATAATGTGTTTTAGCACATACAAAAAATAAATAGGCTTATAAATATTTAGATTTCGCTTTCTTGTTTGTTTTTTTTTCTGTCGCTGTTGCTGGTGTCTGCGGTCCCCGGTAAAAATAGTAGTGTATAAAAATCGGTTAATTAAAAAACTTAACTCTAGTCTTTTCTTTACAACGTTAAACTCGTAAAAAATTATACAAAGAAAAAAAAAAGGATCCTAGAAATTAGCACATAAAATTCTTTTGTACAGCAGCATCTTCTGGTGCGGGGCGCCCTTCCCTTGCTCGCTCTCTCTCCAAGCTGCCAAGCTACCATTTGTGGTGCGTATTCCTTCACCTGATCGTGACGATCGCCCGCGGCAAGGCGAATACGCAGAGCCTTGAACGCTAATAAATCGGCTGCGCTGGCTGCGACGATGATGTGGTGCTCGGAGGTGCCGCCACCACGCTCGACGCCGTCGAAGATGGACTTGAGGACGAGGCATTGCCGCAGTTGTTGTTGTTATTAATGCTGTTATTGTGGCGCTGCAGCTGATGGCTACGAAGTGGCTGGTACTGCGACGGTTGCTGCTGCTGGAGCAGCGGCTGAAGTTGCTGCTGCTGCTGTTGGTGCTGCTGGTGTTGATGCTGGAACCGCTGCTGCTGATGCTGCAAATTGTGCAGGTAGTATGCGTTCATGTTACTCGTAGCCGGCTGATAGGGCGAGGCCCGAACATTCTGCATCTGGGGGAGCGCTGGCTGGTGCTGGAACTGCTGCTGCTGCTGCAGTTGCAGCTGCTGTTGCTGCTGCTGTTGGTGTTGCTGCTGCTGGTGATGCTGCTGATTCAGCTGGCCGGCGGCACGCATCATGTGCCAGTAGTTGTCATCGCCGATGGGCGCCTCCCTGCTGCCATACTTAAGCTGGCGCGTGATGCCCTGCTTGTAGTCCCGATGGTCCCGATCAATGGCGTACGCCTTCTCCCGCAGCTTCTCGATGGTGCGCTTGAACTCGGCGAAGGCTTGCGGCGAGTGCTTCTGCAGTTCGGTGGCCAGCGGCACCAGGGGATTGTGCTGCTGGTGCTGCGCCGCCGACAGGTGTTGGTGGTAGGCGAGCGGATCCAGCAGAGACTCCAGCACACTCATGTAGGACATGATCAGCGTGTGGATGCGCTGCAGGTCGAGCGGTGGATCCAAAGCCGTTACCAGGTCCATCTGGAAGTAGTCCATCTCCTTGTCCGAGACGTTCTTGCAGCCGGGCGAGTTCTCGTCGGAGCGCCCACAGCAGCTGTAGAAGCCACTGACAAAGGCCGAGGGATGGAAGTACTGCATACGAATTGAATTCATCAGACAGATCTTGTGCAGCAGGTCGAACCACTCCCGCTCCTCCACGCAGTTTGTCGTCTGTACGATCAGCGATCGGTCGTTGTGCACAATCTGTGGGTGTAGAGAATGAAATAAAGGAAAGTAAGTCTCAGTGCCTCATCTCTGGCAGCAATTAACATAAATTCTGTGTGCGGCGACGGCGGTGGCAATTGCAAAACAATCGCACGTCGAGTGAAATCGCGCTGGCTGAGACAATTCCCACATCTTAGAGCCCCCCGAGATAAAAGAAAAAAAAAAGAGTTACGCCAAGAGATACCAAGATATCGCACCCACGATGACGATTCTCGACTGCAGATTCAGTTTTTCTAGCTTTTGAAATTTCCCTTTTTTTGTGGTTGTTTGTCTGCAATAACAATAGCGAAGCGTACGCAAAACGGAGCTCAGCAAGCAGTTCTCATCTGCATAATAATGCTAATTATTTTTAATTGCAGCAACTTGTCATTTGCCGCCACACAAAAACTGTGTGTGAGGAATTAGTGAAAGTTTCTCTCTGACGGTTCAGTTTTCACTATCACCGAGAGGATGACGCTGACTCCAGCTGCCGCCGGTGGATGTGGCTGCTCCTCCATCGATTATCAGCCACTGACTGTCATCCATCCGCCCACACAACACAGCAACCACATGTTGTCGTCATCGCAGTCATGGGTCAGGGATGAGCGGATCTTTACGACTAAGCTACAATAATACTTTTCCGATAGTTTTTGATGAGCTAAATCCGAAATCTGTCTTAGATATGTCAGGTTTTTGTGATTTTCCATCTCAAAAGTGCAAAAAATGCGGTCTTTGGGTACTTTTTAAGGTGCAAGTAACTTAAATACATGTATTTCGTCCATTAAATTTACTTATTACCAATATTATTTCATAATTATAACCATTTAATTTTTATAATACACCTTATAATCATTACGGTCCCTGATTATAAAATCCCTATTACTGTTTTACTTTTATTTTTCTAGCTATATTGTCCCATGTAAAAACCGCCAGACTATCACACCCGTCACCACGGAGGTGTGTGGGCTTGGGCTGCCTATTTATAGATGTGGCGTGGATCGCACGTTTCCGGCACTCTCTGTTGCATGGCAGCAACAATATCCCTTGCAAATCCCAATAAAATCAAACCGAATGCTCACCTTAAAGCAGTTCTGCATCTTGAAGCTCTTCTCTTTCAGCTGCTCCACGCTGGCGATCTCCTGGAGCGGTATATCACAGATAGGTTGTTTGCCCTTCGATTTGGCGTAGCTGAGCGAGTGGGTGGTTAGGCGGAAGTAGCGCTGCTTGAACTGACGGCCGAAGCGCTTCCGGGACGTTGGATACTTGGTCATCATGCTGCCGAGAGGAGGATTAGAGCAAACAAAAGCGGGGTCTTAGCAACACTGCTCTTTGAGATCAACTCAACACTTGGATATACATATGTTTTTTGGATCTCTGCTCTTGTCACAGGTCTTGGCCGCAACAAGAACAGACAACAAAATACAAGCATAATTCTTACCCCTCGCTAGACGTTAGTACAGATTTAGTGTGTGATGAGTAGTAAATGTGATGAATAGGTGTGATTTGTGTGTGATGGGATGTGATGTGGTGGTGATTGGTGTGGGCGTGATGGCGTTTTGGTTTTTTGATTTATTATTTGATTTGATTTTTTTGGTAAAAGCAGCGCGCGGAAAAGAAGAGAAAGATAAAGAAAGTTTTGGTATTAGAATAAAAACGAAGCGTAATCAACGAAATGTCTTGGGTGGGGGGGTATATATGCCAAATCTATAGAATAGGTTATATTTATAGAGGAGGGAGCATTGCCTAATCCACCAATCGATATTCTCTAGGGGCTACGCGGGCACATAAGGGGGGGAGAGAGAGAGAGAAACTTGCCCCTCGATCGTAAGGGTTCAACTTACCCCTCCTTAAGTAATACTGGTTCCAATGGCGTTGCTGCCGCCGCCGGGTGAACGCTGCTGGTGGCCGCCGGACTGGGCGTCGAGATCACCTCCAGGAAATGCTTGACGGCCCCCACATGCTGCTCTGTACAGAATTTCTTATACAGCTCGGCGGTGAACTCCTCCTTGCATGGCTGCTGCGATGAGCGCGAGCTGACCAAGTTACCCAACGATTGGATCGTCTTGGAGATCAAGGTCAGCGTGCGACTTGTCTGGGCATCCTGTAAAGTTATAAGTAACAAAATTATCAGTAAGAGAGCTTGATTCATGACAAGTTATACTGGCTTATCTCATTACTAATGACATTACTAAGAACATTAATATTATAAAGATTGGAAACTAAGGAAAACACTTACCAGTCGTTCGGTGGTTAGATCGAAGAGCTTCGGCCCCAGGATGGCCGGTGCAAAGAAGCGCAGGAAGATGAAGCCGGACACCACGGAGTAGCGCACCTCGCGATTGCTGGGGAAATGCTTTCCCGCACACTCGCGCAGGTCGTGAAAGATCTGGCAGAGCACCTTCGGACAGCGGTCGGCACTCTTGGTGATTGCCTCAAACACTCGCTCCACATACTCCTTAAGGTTCTGCAGATTCGTGTCTACTGCCGAGCGATCCTTGCATTTGCTTGGATCAATCTCGCAGGGCTTCTTTTCGGACACAATCTGGGCCAGGACGGGGCGCAGCGTCTGGTGAAGGTAGTGGAGACCGGATAGCCGCATTGCTTCGTCCATCATCTTGGACACCAGTGTGTTGCCGCGGAAGATGGTGGTGGGATCGGTCAAGTGAGAGATCTCGTGGTCCGCCAAAGCCTTAATGATAGGCGCAATGCGCTCCGTATGCGTGAAGAGGCGCACCAGTGGCTGGGCCACTTCCGTTTTTCCCGAGACCAGCTCCCCCAGGATGGATACAGCCGACACGGTTATGGGCCGCTGATCGACGGACTCCAGGAGCAGATTCAAAAGGTCATCGTACGTGGCCAGCGGGAAGACATGATCGGCGGTGTAATTCAAGTTCAGGCGCAGTGATCCGATGGTGGAATCCACACTTAATCTCGTTCCGGGTGGCGTGGCGCAGGAGCGGGGCGTGGCGTTCAGCGAACGACAGCTGTGCGCCATGGATCGTGGCTGCAGGTAATACCAAGCCGATGGCGGTACCGCCTGCTGTTCCTGCTTGTTTAGCATGGGCAGTCGCACCTCGCCGAGGAACACCTTATCGGCCATGGCGCCATGCGCGTCGTGCCAAATGCTCACCACAATCTCCACCAGATCCGCTCCGCCCAGTGGATAGATGGCATAGCCCTTGTTAGCGGAAGACTCCAGGGAAGCGGCGCTCTTGTTGCTGCCGGTGGTGTTCGTGCTGCCCGCTTCCGCATCGATGTGGAGATCAAAGTACATGGCCTCGTCGAACTCCGGATCGACGGTCTTCTTCCGCTGCTTGGTCCGCCGCGTCACCTGCTGCTTGTTGCTGTAGTGGGCTGTGCATACGACGAAGGGATCGCAGGTGCCCTGCTTCTTGGCCAGATCCACGCAGGCGGGCACCTTGATAGTCACTCCCACATTTCTCGCATTGGGCGGCCTCCATTTGTGCACCTGATCCGGGGACTTTGCCGCCGCCACTGCCCACGCCCAATCGACGTTACTGAACTCGCCGCCATTCTCCTTGTAATCGTTCAGGTGCGCCCTCGGCTGGTGGTGGTGTGCATGGTGGTGTGGCCTGTGTTCAATGCTCTCGATGCTTTCCGAGAGCGACTGGGACTGTGGTGCCTCCTCGAACGAAACGTCCACATTGATCATGCCCTGAACTTCGGAATCGGAGTCCACGGGCCGCAGCGAAAACCAATGGTCTTTGTGGTTGTACATGTGAAGATTCTCCCGCTTGATGGCTATCTTGCCGATGGGCTTGTCCTGCTTCATGTCCCGATCGTACACGTAGATGGACAGGTAGCGGAAGCGACGCGGGATCTTGAACTGGTGCTCTTCGCCGAAGAACGGCGACAGTGTGCGTTCGATGGTGGATGTGCGGCAGATCTCCTCCTGGTCGAGGGCAATTGTGCAATAGACATCGCGAGTGCCCTGTGTGCTGCAGCTTGTGTTGGCCGCATTGCGACTGCTCAGATTCTTTGCCTCGCCTGAAAAAGAAGATAACAAATTAAATATTACAATTAATTGCTATATCGTTTTTAATAAAGAAACATGTTGCAGTATCACTTTATCAAGCTTAGCACACAACACCTTAGAAATGTATAAGGTTATAGATTGCAGTCAGGGGAAAAACATAAACTTGAGATTAGGTAATAATCAAGACTGTCAATAAGTGGTTCTCAAGTGACATTTTGTATATTCAAAATGAAAATCGTACTTGATTATTAAGCCTGAAACCAGCAAACATGTCATTTGGTTCAACTCAAGAATAAGTTATCAAAAGAAATGATAAACTAATGCAATACAATCTCTATTAATTCAAAAATATTCCACGCAAAGTTAAATTAAGCAGCCAGGTCTAGACCAATCTCGTTTTCTAAGAATGGCTACACTTTCACCCAACCGGATGGACTGTTAACCGTTATCGCGCAGTATTTTAACTTGAATTTTGATATCGACAACCGCTTGGCATTATCATCTGGCCTTGACACCTAAAGGCATCAGGTGTTTGCTTGGTCTGAAAAAGACTTTCTTTTAATTAGTATTTAAGCCATTAATGATTTCTCTCAACAGAATAAATTGTGAGTTCCTATATATTATAAACCCCCATTTAAGGTATCCATTTATCCGCATTATCGCCTGGCCTTGACACCTGCTAACTGCTGCTGTAAAGACGGCTAAAAGCAGACACTGACACACTCTGTATCCATTACAACATACTATATATTTTAGCGGGCTCTTTTGAGTTCCGAAAACGGTCAGCGGACGTGACTTCCTGTGCGAGTGCGTCGTCGATATATTGGTTTGCCAGTGTGTGCATCGCCGATGAATGGTGGTCGCCGCACACAATCTATTATTGATGCTCCGCCACCTGGGGACTGAGGACGGACCACAACAACAGCAATGGCTGGCGCTTGGCTAGACTGGAAACGTTAACAATAAACGGAATCGGAATGGGAATGGCAATGACAGCCTTGATAAGCGCGCAAAGGGTGAAGGCGCTATGCGGCCCACAAAAGGCAAGTACTATAAGTACTATAAACATGCTCAATGAAAGAAATTAGCGGCAGTCGAGCGGAAATATAATAAGTGCACATACACACTCCCGTACTGGTTCGTGTGCTATATGCTATATTTGTGTTGCTCCGCTTTTTACAGTCAAACGTCTGAGAGGAAAAACCTCCCTTTGACTCAAGAAATTCGATTTGTAAGACTGTCTCAAAGACAAACACTCTTTTCCTAAAATTTAAAAAGCTCTTAACCAAATTAAAACATTTTTAAAAGTTTTAAAATGATTGATATAAATAGGAGACTATTTTGTAGATAGAAGAGTACAAGATCTAAAGATAAATGGCCAAAGTTATTACAAAAAACCCCTTACACGTCTACAGCTTCTGATAATGGCTCTACTTACAAGGTCGGTTTATATAGAAATTACCAGGTGATTATTGAAAATAAACACTCTATAATAAAAATAATTTCTACTAAATTAACAAAATTAAAATTGAAATATACAATTTAGGGAGGTTTGTCTGTATCAAAACAGATTGCTTTTTAATGAAACCCCTGTTGACACAGCTGGGCGGTGGGTTGGATGGGTTGAATCGGTTCCGAATGGGTTGCGGATGAGCTAGGTGTGGGCTACATAGCTTCAGATTCGCTTCGCTATCAGCTTGCGACTATCAATGGATCGACGGTGTGAGCAATGTTGTGACTATATGGAGACTCTATGGAGAGTGTCTCTGTGTGTGTTGGCAAAACAACGGCAGTTTTTCACAATCACAATCGCTTGCTCTCACACTCTCACTGTGCGTTTTTGTCGTAGAAAACGAGGGGAAAGAAAAGAAGCACAAGAAACAATGCCTGATAACAAAGGCGTTCGTTTTCTTTTTTTCCCCTATTTTTTCTTTCATGAATGAAAAACCCACGGAACGAAACAACAACAACAACGTAAGGAGAATCAGAAGCACATTTTATATATGCAAAGCAACGAAAAGCAAACGCAAAGCCACAAAACAAACACAAAACGCCACCAAATGACAAAAATCCAAAGTGACTTTTTTAGTCGAGGAGAAAAGCAAAACAGTAAATTTCATTCATGAAATCGTGGTAGTAAATAAAGGAGAAAGACTGTGCGAGGAGGGTAGTAGTAGAGTGAAGGGGGGAAAAAAAATACCCGGCACAAAAAGTGTTGGAATTTTTGCGTTTCTGTGACGTTTATAATTTATTTATGTGTGTTTTTTATGGCTTTGCCTTGTCATTGGCCGCCGGTCGCCCCACTGAACGTTTTATTATTATTTTTTCTCTTTCGTTTTTCGTCGAACGCCATGCAAATCAGCCAGACAATCAAAGTTTTCTAAATTTAATGACATAATCGATGGGAATTTCTAAAGATTTCGCTTACTCACCGCCGGCAGGCGCAGAAAAAAAGAAAGAAAGAATGAACTGGCGATAAAGAAATTGCAAAACGATTCCATCAAATCGAACGAGCCCCCACCGACGGGGGCATTGCGAAATGCTAATCCAGGGACTTCGCCTAGATATAGAGTTTGTGTGTTCTGTGAACTGAAGCCATCGGTCATAAACCGTCCGATATCCGACCTTCAGATGCATTGAGCAACACCAGAGCAACGGCAGCAGTCCAACGATGGACTCGACTCGCATATATCATCTTACATATGCCAAACACGATAAACGGAACCGGGGAGCTCTATCAAGGAGAAGGAGGAAATCGGGGGAGTTCCACAAGGTTTATGCATGCCTAAAGTCAACCGGAAGTTGGCTCATCTTATATTTTTGCAGTAAAGGAATATTTAAATGCAAGTATTTGTGGTACTAAGAGACGGAAATAGTTAGGAAATATTTAAAACTATTGCAATCTTAATGGGTAAGTGAGTGGTAAGAATTACTATCTATTTTAATAATGGATAAAACCACAAGTATAACAAATATGTACAAATCTACATCACATTATAGAGTTCTACAAAATCATTTTCAAAATATTACTTATAATTGTGATACTTCACAGATCTATATTGCCAAGCGGAAGATAGCTCGCCTGTTTTGAGGTAATAAATATTTAACAACATTTTGGAACGCTCTTTTTCCCCAACAATCAAAACGGAAGTCGTGGGAATTCTTAAAATTACACAAACACAAAACAGAAGGTGGTTTATGCTTGTAAAATAAAAGCGGAAGTGACTTTTTTTTGGGGTAGCAAATATTTCAACCAAAAAAGTTTTGCATTTCAGTAAGAACGGAAGTGAATAGCAATTTTTAACATACATAAATATTTTTATAAACTGATTAATTGGTATTCAAGAAATGTTTACTAAGAATTACGGATAGGAATTCTGCAAATTCTGTTATAATATGTACATGATAAGAAGGGATGTTACAAATATTCCCTTAAGAAAAAATTAAACAGAACCAGATGGTTCAGTATATGGTGGTATATAAATAATAATATCCTAGTAACTCCCACTACATTAGCTCCTCATTCCAATAATTACAACACTGATTAATCAGTTATTTGTTTACTTAGACTAATGCATATATAGTGCGGGTGATCTAGCAATTAACCAGAGATCGCTGAGATCTATATCCCTGCACAGACAGCGTGATACACATGCGGCATGTTTCTTTCAACGTTGCCAGGGGACCCCAAAAATAGCATCATCCTTCTTCCATATTCCATATTCCATGTGCCACATGGGTTGTGGCCCTAAATCGAAAACCGAAAACTTCTAAAGTCGGCGCCGCGATCTGCTTGTGGAAATAGCTTATTTTCCCTTTTTCTCCTCCCCACACAACATTGACATTTGCCTTGGGGATTTCGTCGAGTTTGGGGGGAGTTGAGTGGGGCTGGAAAATTACAACACGATCTCATTTCCACACCCATCATGGCATCGAGTCGGGCAGGGTCTCATTAAAGGCCTGAAATCTCCATGATTTCCTTCGCAGATGGAAAATTAAATTTAAAGACTTTGTAAGTAGATTTCTTTTTCATTTTGTTGCTTTACTTTTTGTCTTTTTTTTTCTTTTCTGCACAATATGCAAATTGATTCAGTGCAGCATGAAAAGCGCGCGAATTAATGAGGCGATTACTCCAAGAGGGCTGCTGCTGCAAAAAAAAAAAAAAAAAAAAACAAAATAAAGAGAGAAAAAAAGGGGAAAACACGTAAAGAAGGAAGCAGACCAGCAGACAAGCAGACAGCGCTGTAATAAATTCTAAAAAAGCAAATGAAACAAAAACCAGACAGCAGCAGACATTTATGCAAAGGAACGGAAATAGAGATAAATTCTTGTATTTCTTTTTTTTTTCCAGCTGCCCCGCCAGCGGAAGGGAGATTTACACAGACAGATCTCGCGCCATATCTATATCTCTGCGTCTGCCGGCAGTTTGTTTAAACGGCAGCTTCCTGCGGCCAAAACGATTGTTTGCACTTTTGGCGGAAAGGTGGGAATAGGGACTGGAAAATTGTATGGAAAAGCCCTTGTTGCTCTTACATGCACTCGTTTCTATATAGCCCCAAGAACTGATGATATCCCTTTAAGTGCACTTCCTTTTCCGCTGCCACTTCCTTTTGGCCATAAAACCCGAAAGGGCCGGCCTAACGCGACGTGCCATTAACCAGGTTGTGGAGGAAAACTGGTTAGCTCGAGGGAAAAAAAACCAGGTCTAATCGGTTCTTATGTTAAATGATTAACTAGGTTTGTTGGGGGAATAAAATCCAAAAGCAACATTAAAATAATAGAGTTTAGATGTAATTCTACAAATTCTTTTATATATCTTCGATTGATCGCCTCCATATATATTAAATACAGACTATTTTATTCACTTAGAGGGAAGAAGATGCCAAAGCAAACCAGTTTCTGGCCTCCCTTTCCTCATCTCTTTTTTCTCTGTACGTGCTGATCGATTTCCGGTCTGATTACGCTTCTCATGATCATCGCACGATCTCCTCCTGCTTTTGTGGCCAACTTT